TACGCTGTAGGATATGGTGGGTGATCCAAATCATTCTGATGATGGCAGAGGGGGCACGGGTGGCCCAGTCGTCTAAGGCGCCGCGATTCGCTGTGCAGAGTTGCGTCCCTTGGACACGCCAGAAACCTATGATTGTGGGTTTGAATCCCGGTTCGCCCCGATTATGTTTCTAGGTATGTCAGCACCATATCGAAGTGGTAAACGTCTGACACCTGCATCACTTCGGGCTTTCCTCCCACATTTAGCTGACACGCCGTGATATAACTGGAATACTGCTTAAAGCGGCGTTAAACACAACTCACTCACTCACTGATGATGGCAGCTGACAACAGAGTTGCATTCGTTGTGTTGTACCACTTTCGAATTTGAAGAAATGGCAAGCAATTCTGTGTTATCATTACCAAGAACTTTTAAAATATTCGATTCTGATTGCTCAATCAGAGGTTTCAAATCAAAATATTAACCCCTGGTTGAAATAGTTGATTTGATAACTGCATCACCGAGGATGTTTATAGAAAACTTCTTTCTCAATCATTGTTGGTCAGCGTTTTGAAATATTGATATATATTATTGCAGTCAACGAAAAGTATATACTCTGCCCAATACCGTTTTGGTAATGCAGATCAGCAGTAGATGTATGTGATAATGGTATTAACATATAACACTGACAGAAGCATGTTTTAGTACTTTTTCTTCACCCAAAAGACGTTAAAATGGTACTTGTTATCACCCTGCCTGGCGCTCGTCGAGTAGGGGAAGTCCTAAAAGGCTAGGACTATTCGATCAGCCACACACACGTTTGTTTGTTTGTTGTTTAACGCCGCACTCAGCAATATTCCAGCTATATGACGGCGGTCTGTAAATAATCGAGTCTGGAACAGACAATCCAGTTATTGACATCATGAGCATCGATCCACGTGATCGGTTGGGATACGACGACATGCATCAACCAAGTCAGCGAGCTTGACCACCCGATCCCGTTCGTCGCCTCTTATGACAAGCATAGTCGCCTTTTATAGCAAGCATATGTTGCTGAAGACCTATTCTACCCGGATCTTCACGGGTTCCACACACAAGTGCATGCACGCGACTATGTGAACTAATATTTCGCCTCAACTTGAATGTCCATATGTTATATAACATTAACTTTCTTACTTTATAGTAAGAACTATGATACTATCATTGAGGTGTCTTTATGTATTTGTAATTAGCTCATGAGCATCTGTATTTGTCAAGGCATTTGTCTGGGGGCATCAGTCCAATGCTTGGGTTCACTGACTGCTCCTCATAGCGATCTTCTTCACGCAAGGGACCCCAGTCTGGTGCCGGGATGCTGGCAAGGCGCAGGCGCTGTAACATACATCTCTTTTGATAAACATCATCACGGCAGACTAAATCGTCACACTTAACGAATTTGCATATTCATTCTTTTGTGACTTTTATTATCAAGATAGACACAATTTTATGGATAACAACTTTTTTAATACTGTGAAAAGCGACGTTTCGGTATAGATCCTTATACCGTTGTCAAGCAAGACTGAATGAGGGACATAGTGCACTATATATATTCTGCACTATGTCCCTCATTCAGTCTTGCTTGACAACGGTATAAGGATCTATACCGAAACGTCGCTTTTCACAGTATTAAAGAAATTGTTATCCATAAAAAAATTCTATCTTGTCATCCGTCAACTTCTAAGTAATGCCTATCAAACAATTTATGACTTTTATTATATTAAATAGATAATAAAAATGAATATAGCGCTGCATGAAATTAATGTGAATAGTCCTCCTGCCTAAATCTCATTAATTGTGGAACGATTATAAGAAATAGAGAATATTTCATGTATCGAGTTAAAATATCTCCTTTCCCCCGACACAGGATCAAAGAAACATGACATTCCACGAGACACATGGAATATCCTATCTATTATATACTTTTTGTGTGGTATGATATTTTTTTCATAACAATGTAAAACCTTGATACGTAAATAATCCCTAACACCCAGGGACGTGTCCAACCCTTGTAATTGCGACCTAAAAAGTAGTTCCGAGTTTAGAAAATCTTAAAAAATATTCAAAAAACGTTACAAAAACATATTTGAGGTCACTAAAATTCATAACCATACATTGAATATGATTATATACAACATCAACTTCCACAAAAACATTCTTGAAAGCTACGAGACCGCTGATGGAAGCAAAGGAATATGCGCTGGTCAAGTGACAAAAATGGCGCTTTGTGAAACGAACAGTCTCGATTGACGAGTTAAATGAGAAATTTATTGTTTATAACGAAACATTTTCAAGAGAATAACAAACGGCAAGAAGCGATATTAACTCCATAAATGACCATCTGTTTTATTTGCCTTGTCAATGTGGAAGTAAACCTTTTTCGCAAGGGCTAGACACTTACGATAAAGGGAGACAATTTGTGGGGAGGTCACTCTTGTATGACACTAGTTCCATCAAAGTGTTATGTTCACTGCAGTGAAAATACCACTTTTCTCAACTTCAGAAATCTCAGTCTTTCACTCTGACGTATACAATAATATTTTAAACTTGATTTCAGCAGGCTATATCAAAGTAGTCGCAAAGAATCCTGTTTCGGACAGACAAACCAGAGGTCGATAGCACGAACAGCGACCCTCATCCTAAACGAGGCTAAAATGAAACTTATTACCTATAAGCAATTATATAAAGAGATTGAAAAGCGAACCATACCTGCTGTAAACTTCCCTTCCGCTTGAGCGTCTCGTAGACAAACATGATAGGAATTGGTAAAGAGATTCCGACTGCCACTAGAATTCCTATTATTTTGGCATATTCCGGATACATGTATTCTCCATAGCTGGGCGGCTCATATCCAAACAAGGAAAGGATGAAAGCAGCCTGCCAACACAGAGTGAGTGAGTGAGTTTGGTTTAACGCCACTTTGCCAACACAGAAATAAAGACATACAAAGCGAGGATACAAACATAATAATTAATAAGGTAAAAAGGAACACTGATAGGTCACAGCGACCGAAAAAGTGATTTTGCAATCGAGCAGAACTCTCTATATACCAGAGAGCAAAAGAAATTATACCTCTCACTTGATTTACATGTTTGATTTTCAATTGAAAATATCTTAAGATTGCGATATTATATCCCAAAAAATGTACTGTACTAAAGCTTAGTCAGCAGTCAAAGAATACTTCCAGATAGTTTTATTTTTTAAAGCATAATTTGATTTAAAAATTTAAAAAATAAAATAATACCCAACTGCTGATTGGTATGTTAGACATCTTCTATTTGAAAAAAATAAATTTGCTTTTTTCGGCACAATTTTAGAAAATTACAAACACGATAGGGGTCATATGGTTATATCAATCACAGGATTGTCTGGTCCAGACTTCATTATTTACAGACCGCCGTCATATAGCTGGAATATTGCTGAGTGCGGCGTAAAACAACAAACCAACCAACCAACCAACCAATGTATTTTTACACAATAATACCAAGCCACAAATGAACGATGGTCAAATAGATTCAGTATACTTTCTTTTGCCCCCCAGTATATATACTCGACCAAACGAAACCTAGATGTGGTATCAAGAGATTCATTATGTGACTTCTACAAGGCTTTGATGGATATACGTGGGACATTTGCGTGTTTGGAAGATTGCAAAATGAAACGGGAATCAAACATTAACGGAAACGTTTTAGCACATGCCTGTTTCGTCAAGCCACAATCTGGGGGCACGGGTGGCCCAGTCGTCTAAGGCGCCGCGATTCGCTGTGCAGAGTTGCGTCCCTTGGGCACGCAAGAAACCTATGATTGTGGGTTCGAATCCCGGTTCGCCCCACTTATGTTTCTAGGTTTGTCCGCACCATACCCGTGATCGTGGGTTTCACCGAAGTGGTAAACGTCTGAGACCTGCATCACTTCGGGCTGTCCTCCCACATGAAGCTGCCACGCCGTGATATGACTGGAATACTGTTAAAAGCGGCGTTATACCCAACTCACTCACTCAAGCCACAATCTCATTCATGGCAGTCGCAAAGTCAAGCACCAATGTCCTAAATGGACTGTCTGGCACATTCCATGGATCTATTGGTTAGATCATGGATCTATGTAGGCCCGTGGTCAGATGTGTTCTTTACGTAAAACAGATTGCTCTCCACGTCAAGACATTTTGTCCACCGAATCTGTCGACTCTTGTACGCAGTCATTCTGTCGACGATACAAACAGCTCGCCATCTCTCATTTTAAGAAGGAAACGGGACTCGTCACTACACCAAACGCAACGCCAACGTTGAGAAACCACTGATGACGTAATTGACTCTGAAGTCGATTACGCTGAGGTACAATAATGCCAACGTAGGGCCTTGTTTCTGGAATTCTGGCAGCTCGTAGGCGGTTACGGACAGTGTGGGACTATAGGAAGTAATCCTGAAACTTGTGTTGCAGTATACATTGCAGTTAGTTTCTCGTTTCATATTGCTTTGGGCACCAGCTTAGTCTACCAACAGCCTCATTTCTCATATTATATTTAAGTCTTCACATGACGATTTTCAAATTTAGATCTTTAAATGAATGATTTGTGAAAACGACAGGTGTCAAAAACATGCTTTAAAAAGTCCGTGACAAATTCAATGACTTCCACGTGAAAACTCCTATTCAGTTTCCCAAAAATGAAACATGCAAATGTCAAAGATCAGCGACTCTATCTCTGTCTCTTAACTCTATCAAAGAAAATTAAACCGTTTTGGGACATTTTTCTTATTTATAATGAACATATCTCTTTTTTACGCAAAATGGAATATTTTCCATTCTCGTTTGAAAATATGTTACCATCTGTGCGTTTTTTTAGAATATATACAAAAACATGTTTGATGTAATCTAAATATGTCGAAAACGTCACAGTGCATAATGTGGTACCACTGTTACTGTAGTTGCATATAGCATACTTTTGACACCCAGTCTGATAAACAGTACATACCAAGAGAATGACGGGCGTAACATAAGACGACAGAAGGCTCAAGACAAGTGGAGGACGACGGCCCGTCATCCTTTCTATATCTTTGCTGAACTTATCAGAACCTGCAAAAAAGAAACAGTGTGCTGTATGTACATGTAACATGCAAATCATTTGTCTGTTGACTTTTAATTTCATCTGTTTAAAAAACCATTACCCACAAAGTTACATGCGAGCACAAAATACACTTTTCGCCGCTATCAGACAGCGTTATTATTATGGCATTGATGTTTAATGTACCGTACAGCAAAAGAAACGCAAGTTTAGATTATGATTGATAAAACAGGAACTTTGCAATGCGAAACTTTCAAAACAGAAATGAACCAGATTTCCAGTATTCATTTACACACGTGAAAAAATCACGTGCATTTTTTGGTCTGTTCGTTATAAGCTTCGAAGAAAGAAAACTGCCACCAGCTGAATCTGTGACTTCAGTCGACCTAAAAGTGCTTGAGTGAGTAGAGTTTTACGCCGTTTATAGCAATATTCCAGTAATATCGCGTGGGGTGACACCAGAAATGGGCTTCACACATTTTGCCCAAGTGGGGAATCGAACCCTGGTGTTCAGCGTGATGAGGGAACGCCTTAACAACTCGGCTACCCCACCGCTCCTATTCGACCAGAGAAGAATGCCCCAACTGAGCCAGATACAAAGAGGAATCGCCATCAGCATGTTGCAAGTCTGATCAACGCCTCCTGCTGTAGCCAGACACCTTCATGTTGCATGACGACCACCACAAGATACGTGTCTCGTCATCAACAGACAGGCAGTCTACAGGACCGATGTTGTTTTTTTCCAGGGAGACATGAGGGACAACCGCATCTGAAGATTGACACAACCTGGTGACACATCTCCGAAACCAACTGCAACCAGCATGGCCTGTATCATCCAACAGAATTTATCACCGTCTGAGAGCAGCAGGGATCCAGTGCCGCCGCCCTTAGGTTGCCCAATACTTACTCTTCGTCTCCGCCAGCAACGTCTGCAGAGGGCCCAACAGCATCAACTCTAGATTCCACCTGTCAAACGCTGATGGTCGAATACGCCTATGAAGAAGTTGCAACGAGCGTTATGCTGACTGCTGTGTTCTGCAAGCCAGCGGATGGTAAGGGGGGAGTCTCGGGGTGTGGGTTAGGATTTAGTTTTCACCACAGGACGCATCTACACGTTCTTTGACGTTATGTTACACTTCTATTCATGGTTCATCCTCAACTCCAAGTCTTCCAGGACAAGGCTCGTCCCAGCGCAGCCATTCCATGGAGTTTTCATGAGATGGAACGTCATCAATGTTATACCATCGCCTTCTCACTCCCGACATGGCACCAATTGAACATGTATGGGATGAGATTGGATCCCGACTGGTAACAAGAAGGCAGTCAAAGAAGCAACAGGAGGCTGAATTGGTGCAGGAGAGAACCAAGCTTCTTCAGACGTTCTTCAAGACACAATCAACTCAATTAGGGTACGCTGCACTGATTGTATAGCTGCTCCGGGAGGCCATCAATTATGTTATCAAAGCTACAAAACACTTGTCATTTTGGCACCCAAGGGGTATCTCCTTGAGCATGATAATTCATATGGTAATCAAACACATGCCCTCAAAGGTTGACCTGTCAGAAAATTGAATTAAAATGTATGTCTTAATATGTTTTCAAGTATTTCAAATGAAAATTGCTTTCTTTGCTGTTCAGTTTAAACACATAACAATTGTAAAGTATGTGTTGAGAAGCGAATGCCTGAGCTGGGTTTAACACTGAACATATCAATCTGGAAAGAAGGTTTCTTGTATGGAGTCACATACCGTAGATCCAGTAGATGACCACACATTCCAGGCAGCCAGTCACAAGGGCGTTCAAGGACGCGGAGTACCAGTCCAACAACTGGAAGTAGTACACTCCTCCCTGATCAGTACAAGTCACACATTAGTGCAATGTCTGAAACATTTTATTTCTTTGTTTCTTGTTGTTTAACGCCGTACTCAGCAATATTCCGGCTACATGACGGCGGTCTGTGAATAATCGAGTCTGGACCAGACAATCCAGTAATTGACATCATGAGCATCGATCCTTGCAATTGGGATACGATGACCTTCATCAACCAAGTCAGCGAGCCTGATCACCCGATCCTGTTGGTCGCCTCTTGCCTGCAAACATTTAAGGTAAGGACAACTAACATTTGTTTGGGGAAATCTGCAACAGAAGTTCATTTCAATATCATCTTCTTCATGTTGTAAGGACGAATATGCCAGGTTTGTAATAATTGGATATGTAACAGTAACTGAACATTGCCCGTTGTATCTGGCAGTGGATGGCAGCAATGGCAGCAAAAATATTCATTTTTAATCGGACTTTCCCAGCCATACATTGTTACCAATATATTTCTATTTCTCACAGATCATTCTACTGAAGTAGGACACGTGACGATCCGGATTAGAATAGGTCTTCAGCAACCCATGCTTGCCGTAAAAGGCGACCATATTGTTGAGTTCGGCGTTGAGCAACAAACAGACAAACAAACAAACTGAAGTAGGGGTTCTAATCTACTGTTAGTAGGGACACTTACCGCAGTCACAAAAGGAATAGTAGACAGAAAGGAGACGAGACAAACGCTCAGGGTGACTACAACCCGCTTTTGTTGATGAGTCGAAGGAAATGCTTCCAAAATACCCGAGATTACACTTTCTACGAAGCTAAACTGTAAGAAAAGATATTGGCTTTACTTGTATGATACTGCATGTAGACAACAAAAAGAGTATGTACAAATGTGATTGGAAATATATTTAGCACAGTTATAACTCTTGAAAAATGCATGTGTGAACTCGTCGAATGATATTCTTGCGATTCAATATTCCCATTGAATTATCGTATTTCCACTACATAGTTTGAAGAACACAGTCGAAAGGGAAGTGGAAGACACCTCGAAGCAATTTGACGTAGTCTAAATTTTTGCCTACAAATAAAGTTGTGAAACAGCTCACATCCATAACCCAAAATAACCTTTGTTTCAGTAGCATATACATTTGACAACCAACGTGCATTTAAAAATACCATTCACGTTTAATCAACAAACTGGCAATGCCTATTTTGATCCAGATACTAGGGGTGACTATTGGTTTGGAAATCACTATTGCGATAACTATTCATATTGCAAGCAACTATTGCGATAAATATGTTAGTTTTCGGTGTATCATTTTAGGTGGATTTTTAGAGTTGAATTAAACTTTGGAACTGAAGTTTCCTTTGAATGTGATAACCATAGCAACAAATAAAAAGTAAAGTTTGAGATATGACTGATTTGTTTTTTCTTTACCCTGATAATTTAAGATATGGAAACTTCCACAATACTATGTGTAAATTTCTGCCACTCATGATCAAAAGAAAAACAAATTTGAACAGCAGTGCATGTATTTTATTGATATGGTAAATACAATCGAAACTATCGATATTCCTAACTGAAATCTATACTATTGGTCGGAAACTGATTTAACAATCGATTTATTGACTTTAAGTGCTTACCAATAGCAATATATCAATATTTCGATCTATCGTGACACCCCTACCAGATACTCAATGTGTTACCATGGAGTCTATGCCAACGGTGAGCAGTGTGAAAAAGAAGAGGACTGCCCAGAGTTGAGGAAACGGCAGATTGGCTACTGCCTCAGGGTAGATGATGAACCCAAGTCCTATTCCTAGTAAAGTACACAAAATTGTTATTTATTCAGCTTCAATTGCAACACAAATTTGAATCCTACAGAACGTGATACGTGTTGTTTTAAGTTGTGTTCCTTCACCTACTACAGTAAACTACGGTTATAACGAACACAAAGGGGCCACTAATTTTAGTTCGTAATAACCGTAGTTTGTTATAGGCATATATACAGCATATATACATTAAATGGCCGGGACTAAATAATAAGTTCGTTATATCCGTCAGTTCGTTATAAGCGTGTTCGTTATAAACGTAGTTTACTGTACATGTAAACAAACTAAGAAACGTCCCTGTGAAGGGGTTCACGCTGGGAGTATTCATGCTTGTGCAGGTGGTCATTTACGACCGAACGTACAACCAACTGGCCTACGCGCAAACCTACCACGCCTGCTGATGTTATGGAATTTGCAGGAGTATGCAGATTCGCGTGTCCAATTGTCAGGTCGAGTTTTTATATATAGCTGAGCTTTGTTAAGGAATTATCCATTTACAAACTTATCTTATTGATATTAAAATAATATGATTATTTGCGATGGATGCAATTCACATCACGTGTTAAATACCAGAATGATTAATCATACAAATTGCCTGAATAACTATTAAGTCAAGAGAACTCACGTTAGAGTTCTAATAGTAATCATATTTTCATTGTATGATGTTACAGAGCTACCAACCTGATGATACTACTTCAGATATTGGTACCTGGGCCTCACTGGCCATGAAACCAAGAGTAGAGAACACCACCAGACCACAGAAGATACTGCTTAACTCACCGATGATCGTTATAACCAAAACATCCCTTAAATGAAACATACATATCACATCGTTTTGCATGCTATATATGAGTTCATTTGTAATGCCAAGTTCTTTATTTCTTTATTTCATGTCTGGTAGAATATATGAGTCCTCATACTGAATGCAAATCCTGTGAATCTTCGGAATAATGAAGTCCAATTATATATACACTGTGTGTTTAATCTTATGATCTCAGGTTGAATATCATTACCTGACCATATTATTGTGGAAAGGGTTGAATATCATTACCTGACCATATTATTGTGGAAAGATTTGAATAGCATTACCTCAACATATTATTGTGGAAAGGGTTGAATAGCATTACCTGAACATATTATTGTGGAAAGGGTTGAATAGCATTACCTGAACATATTATTGTGGAAAGGGTTGAATAGCATTACCTGAACATATTATTGTGGAAAGGTTTGAATAGCATTACATGAACATTTTATTGTGGAAAGGTTTTAAATAGAATTACCTCAACATATTATTGTGGAAAGGGTTGAATAGTATTACCTGAACATATTATTGTGGAAAGGGTTGAATAGCATTACCTCAACATATTATTGTGGAAAGGGTTGAATAGCATTACCTCAACATATTATTGTGGAAAGGGTTGAATAGCATAACCTCAACATATCATTGTGGACAGGGATGATTAGCATTAAATCAACATATTATTGTGGAAAGGGTTGAATAGCATTACCTCAACATATTATTGTGGAAAGGGTTGAATAGCATTACCTCAACATATTATTGTGGATAGGGTTGAATAGCATTACCTGAACATATTATTGTTGAAAGGGTTGAAACTGCCCATGGTGATGAGGCCGCCGAAAGTTGTATTCATGGAGTAGAAAGCCTGAAGCAAGGCCTCCAGCCACACCTTACGTGGAAATAAGCTCGTTGATGTCATTGCACAATACTGATTCAATGGTAAACGTTGAAGACTCTAGACAATCAAACTCAGCATGTCATTTTGTAATATTGGGCCTCAGCCCTTTTTCGTAACACTAAAAGTTATCTTTTCCACAAAATTCTCCAAATATATCATGTATATTCATCATACTACAGACTGACTCTATCCATGGACATACTTAATCAAGAACGTGTACAACCATCAAATAGATCTCTCCTTGGAATAGATGGTCAAGAATTGACATATAACATACATCTTGGAAAAAATAGTGTTATGAAATGTGTAATAAAAAAGACAAAACCTTTTCCATAATCATACGAAATCTCTGCCTAAAACATAGTCGATTGTACTATTGCTACTAATAGGACCTGAGCTGAGAGTAGATGGGAGAAATCTGGTTTCAGGAAATAGAGAATGCCGTCTTCGGATCCTGGCATCATGCACGACCTGATCAGCAGCACAGCCAGCAGAAGGTACGGCGTCACCGCTGTCACGTACACAACCTGTGTGACACTTGGCATAATGAGCTTGGGTTTACCAAGATGTTGGATGTATAGTTAGTTTTCTTACCCTTTTTCAAGCCAGATTGAAAGATATGTACAGCCAAGAATGGACCAATTTTCATCTACTAGAGCTCAAAGTTTCCAAAACCGCCTCCGTGGTCTATTGGATAGAGCGTCAGCCCGGAGAGCGGAAGGTCGAGAGTTCGATCCCCTTCCGCGTTTTACCAAAATACGATAAAAGGTTGTACTTGTTGTTACCCTGCCTGGTGTTCGGTATAATAGGGGTAAAACAAGGACTGGTCGCTCCGAGGCAGTACACTGTTTGCTTGGGGTATTCGTGTTAAACTGCGGCATGGTATCTTTAATAGCAATATAAAATCGGCATTAATCCAGACTTGTATTAGCAGCCACATACACACAGACACAAACACACACGTGCACACACGTACACACACACGCACGCACGCACGCACGCACACACACACACACAACAATAAATAAATGCATTTGAAGTTTTTGCAAATTACAGTTGAGTGTATCAAAGTCGTCTGTTTCAAATATTAGGCGCTCCATATTACATACACACGTATAACACATTGCACCTACCTTTCCAACTGATTTGACTCCGAACATCAAACAGAGAAACAAAACGGCCCAAGAGATAAAAGCACATATAACTAGATGGGTCTGAACTGAACCAAGTGTGTCCACACCATTGGACACCCTCAGAGCATTGTATCTGCAAAGACAACACAAAGGTATCTACCCATACAGTCAACTACGGTTATAACGAACTCAAAGGGACCACTAATTTTAGTTCGTAATAACCGTAGTTCGTTATAAGCATATGTACAGCCTATATACAACAAATGACCGGGACTAAAATGTAAGTTCGTTATATCGGTCAGTTCGTTATAAGCGTGTTCGTTATATACGTAGTTTACTGTATTTGTACAATCCCACTTCTGGCCAATCTAGATTTTCATTTAGCACATTGCTATGTTCAATTATATCATTTGATATTTAATTTGTATATTTACATCATCCTTCTCGTATATTGGAATGCAAAGTATCTAAAACGTTGTTAAAAAAATTCTTTAGAACATTAACTGATTAAATGATTAAGTTGCTTTCAAGTTGTTTTTAACATATACTCTTCAAATTGTAGCTCGTATTCGAGAATATCATGATTTCAGAATGGAAAGAGCTTTCGAGGGATGGTAATGGATTGATAAGAAAAAGGAAGGACTAAGTGTAACATGACAATCAACGGAACATTTGACTTGTGACAATCCGGGTTAGAATAGGTCTGCAGCGACCCCTGCTTGCCGTTAAAGGCGACTATGCTTGTCGTAAGAGGCGACTAACGGGATCGGGTGGTCAGGCTCGTTGACTTGGTTGATGCATGTCATCGTATCCAAATTGCGTGGATCGATGCTCATAATGTCAATCACTGGATTGTCTGGTCCAGACTCGATTATTTACAGACCGCCTTCATATAACTGAGTGCGGCGTTAAACAACAAACTTTGTGTGGCTGAATGAATAGTCCTAGTCCTAGGCTTTCAAACTGTCCATGTTTCATCCATGGATGGAAGGCATAATAGTCAAATGGTGCACGCACTATTACCGTCTTATCCTTTCTACATGCACATGTTTGTGCGAATGAAATACCATGACAGCTGCAAGGAGTTATACGCAGTAAGTCAAAACATTACCACTTAAAACAAGACACAGACTCACTGCCAAAATTCCTCTGATGCTGTCAAGGTCTCATTTGGCTTTCTCCAAGCACCTGCACCCCCGGGGACATTTCCTGCAGTGTGA